AGAATTTAAGCTGCTAGAAGCTTCAGCTGCAACTCTAGCCCACCTTCAATGCTGACTGAATGGAAAAGAACCACTGTCGATGTTGCTGAAATGAAAGAATATAAAAGTAGCCAACCAGCGTAACTACCTACTAATAAGACCGGTGAAATACTCAGTCTCATTTGAGGAAACGATGCCAAACAGCATGCTTAACAGCAGCAGCAGGGGTTGATGGGAGATGGGGTGTTGTGTAGCTTTACACCATTGCCAATCAACGCCAATTTAGAAAATAAATTGTGAACGTTTAAGGCAAACCGGCTATTTGTCTAAGTGTTGCATTTTAAAATGTCAGTATATCATTATGTGTGCCCGATATTAAACAACGCTTTTTGGGTGTTTATACAGGATCCATGCAATGAGTGATTTACAGTATCACAGCCTACAATTAATTGCTCACTTTGAGACAATAACGAATTCTATGCTTTGCATCAGTAGAAGGGGAGTGTAGACAACATGAAAGCAATCCATTTTGTAAGTATGAAATTGTCCTTTTTCTTAACAAACTCAATTATTACTCACTTTGTCTCCCCCCGCCCCTCCCCCACCACACTCTGGAAAAACAAACAATACCTCAAACTATATATATGTTCATTTGTAGCCCACATTTACGTGCATTAAATTTATGTCTCCCACAATCGGTCAGCAGGTGCCGGTGTGTACGCACCTAAGTTACATATGATTAAACAAAAACAATTAACAAAAAGAAAACTTACAATAAAGCTGAACTGAGCTTCAAACTCTATGAAGACCTAGGCGTTGCGAGGGACGCGCAGAGTGACAGTGCTGTTTCTAATCCTCCTCAAAAATGGCGAGCACAGCCATAGTGGGTTTACATGGGTGACGTCATAGCTGCGACCTCTAGTACTATTACTATTATAACCTCTTTGCACTGGGGGAAAGTGTGTTGTAAACTTCCACCCCATTGTCAAGGCTATAAGAGAGCGTGAGCCCTCAGCACATGACAGTGTTCTTTTTCCCAGTCTTCTATCTTTTTACAAGAAGTCCGTGAGCCCTTCACTGCCCGCCGCCTTGTCCACAGCTTGATGTTGTTACGTTTCTTTAGACTTTAGATTTTTTTTAATGATAAAAAAAATATAACGGCTATCTCCCTGATTTTTTTTCTTTACACTTCAGGGGGATAGTGTTAAAACGCAGCGTTTTCATAGAAAACGCATCTATCCAACGAATTTTAAACTGTATTAAACATTCTTTATTGTCACAACTACTTTCAGCTATCAAAGATCCTTTGGTATTTGACTAGAGTATTGTCCTTTACAACTTCAATTATGCTAACAATTGTTTATTAGGCATAGAAGATAAACAATTTAATTTACATATTTTTAAAAACCATTTTACCTTGATAATGTTTTGAGGGGAAATTTGTTTACATCATGATCATTATGCAGTCACATGACCCGCGTCTCGTTTTATTACTTTAGTAGTCTAGGTAATTTTTGCATGAGCAGTTATATACATATTATAGATCTACACACACACACACACACACACACACAGGGGTGTCAAAAGTTGAGGGACCAGCTGCTATTCCGGAGAGGAATAAAAGGCCAGTCTGTTCACAGCAACACTTTTCAATCACGAATTAATGGTACTCTGCGAAGTCTTTTGATGTTGGTTTCTTTTTCATGCGATTTGTCAGTCGCTAAAATGTACTCAAAGAGATTTTTGTGATTATTTACTTATAAATGAGCCAGATAATCTCCAAATAAACAGGGTCTTTTTTTTTTTACACGGTGAGACCATAATTATGGATGAGTAAAATTCAGAAGAAAAAAAAATGAACGAAAAGGATTTAATAATCCCTTGACAAAAAAACAACCCATATTGTTATTGAAATCTATTTTGCTGTGTGTCGCTCAAACAGTATGTCTAGATTTGGCACCGCTGACCACAACAAAGCGCTCGTTTCGGCCCTCTGGAATCAGGAATGTGACTGAGAATTTAAGCTGCTAGAAGCTTCAGCTGCAACTCTAGCCCACCTTCAATGCTGACTGAATGGAAAAGAACCACTGTCGATGTTGCTGAAATGAAAGAATATAAAAGTAGCCAACCAGCGTAACTACCTACTAATAAGACCGGTGAAATACTCAGTCTCATTTGAGGAAACGATGCCAAACAGCATGCTTAACAGCAGCAGCAGGGGTTG